TAATAATGGTAACTCAACTCACCAAGTTTCATTAGTTTTTGTGGGTAGTAATTGTTGAGAAGATGCAAGCTCTTCTACTGTATTAGGTAAGTTGAAGGAAAAGATAAAGAATGCCCCCCTTATATTATAAGTCGTTGGTAAGATGCAGTGAAATATAATCAAATCTTACGGTTTACCAAACATTCAAAGAAAATGCTTGGCCTAAATTTTGTAATCCCCCCTTATATTATAAGTCGTTGCACGTAATCGTTGTCTATATAAGTCGTTTTAACACTTTTGGTCCATGTTGCAGGTTTCTATTAAGATACACATTTTGCTATAATTTTTTAACATGTCTTTTTCTAAGTCTTGAGATTGAGTTTTTGCTGAATTCAATATAAACTCGCTTCAATGTACTGCAATTTGTAAAATTTTTGACTTACAATAGGCCAATCAGTCATTGAAAAAAGCAGCCCCAAAAGTATGATTACTCACATTAAAATAAGCTTCACAATAATATTCTATTTCAAAATCAGCTTCTTAAAATTCTCTGCTATCTTGAAAATCAACTACAAATTGAGTTTCTTTTCCAAACGAGACTGAAGTTCAATTTTAAAAACAGCCCTAGGTGTTTCACATGTATTCCAAAAAGTAACTTCAAATTCGTATTCTGTTTCAAAACCAACTTGAAATATATACTCTGTTTAAATTTATTCATATATACTTTGTTTTAAAGAAATTCCAAATTAAGAACACAATTTCTTNGGGCACGGTGTATTGGTGATGATGCCCATTCGTTGTAGGTTGTTTGGGAAGGGAAGTAAGTTGTTGAATAGACGCCAAAGGAAAATGCTGATCTTACCCATTTGTCTCTTATCCCAGATATAGACACAAGTGGCCTGTTTTGGCTGATGATCATAGGTAAGTGAGTATGCCTTCCTGAAAGTGTAAGTCCCAAAGTTCCATTCAGCACCATCTGTGGAAAGCCTACAATGAGGAAGAATTAGTGGAGTGGTTTTACATATGGATTTCCAAGTGTAGGAGTCATAAGGCTTTGGAGAGAAATGACCATCTCTGAGGTATTTATGTCTCATGTATTTGCTCCAAATAGTATTCCCCTGGATCATTTTCCACCATAGGTCAATGAAAGCTGCATCCTGGCTTAGTGTTAAATTTCTTATCCCCAGTCCTCCTTCCACAAAGAGAAAACACATCTTGTCCCATCTCCTCCAGTGGTATTTGGGTCCCTCTTCCTTTTTCCCCCCAGAAGAAATTTGCCATTTGCCTTTTAAGAATTTTTGTTATGGACTTGGTATTCTTTGGGCTCCTCTTTGGCTTAGTTGGTTTGTTAGATATATATATATATAGATTTTGGTTCTAGTGAGAATGCAATCTTAGGAGAGAAATGAGAATTAATCTGGTGCTTTAGATTGTGAGATCTAAGGGTCAAGATTTCATCAAAATTAGATGCACCAAAATGGTGCGAAAATGCATCACGTCAAAATGCACCATAAACCTTCAAAAATGCACAATCTCAAAATCTGAGCGCAAGATGCAATCTGAGCCGCACGATGCATCAGATCCGACGGCTAGATTTTATTCTCATTTCTCTCCACAAGGTGCATTCTCACGGGAACCGGCCCATATATATATATATATATATATATATATATATATATATATATATATATATATATATATATATATATATATATATAAGAAGAGACATTTATTAAGTAAACAAAAGAAGGAACATACAATAAGGGTGCAAGCTTAAAGAGCTTTGACCCGAAGGTTTCGATGCAAACCAAAACTAGTAATATAATTTGAATAAAGAGTAGTTGTGTCTTCGTTGTTTGCCCAGCACGAATCTTGTAGACTCCTGTTAATTTGACAACGAACAATTTGTTTAGAAAAAGGTTTTCCTTCATGGATGCATCTATTATATGCCTTCCAGAAATGCCAAATTAGCATGCTCGGCAAGATCAATCTAAGCTTTCCTTTAAGACTACTCTGATTCGAATTAATCCACCAGGTGAATGTTTCTCTAGATACTGGTGGAGAGGAAAGTTCACAAAAATCTAGTGCTTCAATGAAATCATCCATGCTAATGTGGCAAGGAGTACTTTTACCTTTGTGTTCTTCATAAGAGGTGATTGCATTAAAGTCCCCTCCCACAAGCCAAGGGGTATCAGAGGTTTTGTGGGCTTTGAGAGATTCCCAGAGGTCAAGTCTATCCACTCTAGTGTGTTTCCCATAGACCGAGGAGATCCAAATTTGTTTTTTAGTAGGCACATGAAGGAAGAGACACGACGTGATTTGTGGCTCTTCCTTAAGAACCTGAAGAACCAGGATAGAGTCATCCCAAAAGAACCAAAGTTTGTTGTTGAGAGAACTGAAACATTTGGAATAGCCAAGAGAAGTAGCACATTCAAAGATGAGGGAAGGGTTGTGAAGAGGCTCTAAGAGAGAAAGAAACAGAAGTTTATGATCCTTTTTGAGAGAAAGAAGCCTAGGAAGAGAAGAAAAAATACCACGAATATTCCAAAAGAGACCATTCATGGAGACATAAGGGGAGAAAATTTGTTGGAGGACATTTTTCTGGTTACCATGGCATGGGTGCGACCTTTAGAAGAGGACTTGGGGAAGGGAGTATCCAGGATAGCTGCGATGTGTATCAGAAGCCTGTTAGACAAGGCGTGCAACTCTAGAGGAGGGGGGGTGAATAGAGTTGTTGAGAATGTTTACCGATTTTCGCAGGATTAATAATATAAACGTAAGTGCACCGGAAATAAAAGAGAGAAGGCAAAGAACACACCGATGTATACTGGTTCACCACCTCGTGGCTAGTCCAGTTCCCCGAGAGACTCTCTCGAAGCTACCACTACTTCCGTTAAGCTTACGGGTGCTTAACAAACCGTTTACAACTCGAGAACTTGAATCCCACAAGCCTCGACACAACCGCTCGTAGATATACCCTCTACAAGACTTCACAACCAAGACTTAAATCACATAAGCCTTGAACAACAAGAAGAACAATCTTCTTCAACCTCTCAACAATAGCTCTCAAAAGAGTAGATAAGAGAAATGATTAAAGCTCTAATGGATGACAAAACACTCACTTAAAAACAAATACTTTTCTCTCAAAATAATATAAATTTGAGGAAAGATTGATGGAGGATTAACACCTCAAGAATGGGGAG